TCCTCCTTGGGCACCACCTCCAGTGTCTTACTCAGGTGCTGCCCAGGTGCCTTCCATCCTTCCCTGTTGGCCCTGTCTCTCTCGGTGACTCTAAAGCACAGGGCAGGTATAGGAGGGTGTAGATGAGATGACGGTGGGGTCTGGCATAGGAGAGGTCCTCAGGCTTGCACTGCAGAACTGTGTGGCTTAGTGCGTGGGAGCTCAGGATCTGGGGTCGGGCAAGCCTGGGGGTCCATTTCGAAGTTATGGAAACTATGAGCAAGTTGTTAACCTCTCCAAGCCTCCTGCGTATACAGACGACATTAATGATGCACCTTACGGAGTTACTGTTACTGTCACGATGAATGCATAGCGCTGGCACATAATAAGGTGAATTACAGCCACACATTTGCAGGCCCCTTGATTTTAGCCTAACACAAGCTACTTTACTACAGCCCTAAGAATTCCAGACACACCCTGCCTCTTCCAAGTAGAGAAAACACAGGTGGCGCTGTGTTTAGAGGTTTAGTTTCAGCTTTCTTGATTCAAACATAGTGCTAGTTGTCCTGGCTAGGGTATCTCTTTCTCTAGAAGTGACATCTATGCTAGGGCCGGGCCTCGTTCCTCTGTCCTCATAGCTGGGCCTCCCATATCACTGACTGCAGGTTGGTGGTGTGCAGAGAACCAGCCTCAGGTCCAGCTCTACCTGCAAAAAACCTGATGTTTTGATATTTAGTGAAGGATGCGTCTTTTTCTTCAGTTGGCTCTGGATTCTGAAGGAAGGAATGGTGGTGTTAATTAACTCCTAAATCCTCAAAGTGGTATTTCTAAGACTGGAAGCGGTTGTCTCAGAATCCCACGATCCAGACTTTATTCCACACCCTTTGTCATGACCATGGGCTCATAGGATATTGAGGTCAAAAGGATCCTCACACATGCCTTTAGCCCAGTGTATCCCTACAGATTGGCAAACTGTAGCTTCTCCATCAGGGCTGCAGGATCCGGGGAGAGGGCAGAGCAGAGCTGGATATTAGTTGTCCTGAAGACCTGAGGCTGGGAAGCACCGATGTGGTACAGCCTCGATGCTTACTGGGCATCTTAAGGATCTTGGGAGCAAGCGAGAGACCCCAGTTCTGGTCAACTGAGAAAGGAATGTGTTGGGGCCGGGTGTGGTGGTTCATGCCTGTAATCCCACGACATTGGGAGGCAGAAGTGGGCGGATCATTTGAGGTCAGGAGTTTGAGACCAGCCTGGCCAGATAGTGAAATCTCATCTGTACTAAAAATACAAAAAATTAGCCAGATGTGATGGCAAAATGTCTGTAATCCAGTGACTCAGGAGGCTGAGGTGGGAGGATCGCTTGAACCTGGGAGGTGGAGGTTGCAGCGAGCTGAGATCGCCTCGCTGCACTCCAGCCTGGGCGATGGAGTGACTCTGTAACACTCCAGCCTGGGCGATGGAGTGACTCTGTAACATTCCATCTCAAAAAAAAAAAAAATAAATAAAAGGAATATGTCGGAATGCTGTCAGGGGAGGGGCACATAGGACTTATTGGTGGTCAGGTGCCCAGTCAGGGATGGGCAGGAAGCATGGCACCACCAAATGGCCAGAGCAGCTGGCCCTCTGTAGCTGCTGGGCTGGAGCCACCTCCAAGCTTCCTTTTGTCCCTTGCTCAGATTGGGAGAGTGTCTGGTTGGCTGATCTGCGTCCTCCTTCCACTCCTGGCTGCCCTCATCTCTGGTCCCTTGAGCTTTCTGCTTTCTGGTTTCCTGAATATCGTACCTGGAATTATTCTCTCTCCAAAACGGCAAATGTAGGAGAAAGACAATTTAAAAAAAGAAAGGAAAAAGGCGAAGGTCTTGTTAGGGTTCCGGGAAATGGCTGCTAGGCTGGCAGGCGCCACCAGCTGACTCGTGTCTTGGGACAGCCGGACACAGTAACTGGAGCGCTGTGTGACGTGGAAGGGAGTGCTGGAGCCATGGGAGGACCAAGCTGGGAACCGCAGCTCATCTGGTCAGGGAAGGCCTGTACGGGAGGCCGCCAGAGGATCGGGAGGCTGGAGTGGCAGCCAGAGGAGGTGGTAGATTGGCAGGAGGGAAGAGAGCTCTGGACATGTGTGAGGCTGGAGGCAAGACGATGTGTGGCCTTTAGAGATGAGAAGTGGGGGAGAGGCTCACGCAGGGCCCCACGGAGCAGGAGGGCAGGATGGTGGGAGCCCAGGCCTCTGCTGCCGGCCCCATGCCACCACGCCGCCTCTGTTGCTGCCCAAAGGAGTCAGTTCAGGGGTTCGGGGTTGCTGAGCGTAAGAGAAGTTTATTCTCAGGTAATGATTAAGAGGAGCCGCAATGGCAGGGGGCCTTTGTGAGTGTGGACCTGACCCTGTTGCAGGGCGATAGTCGAGAGAACGGGAACACCCAGGTGGAGGCTGGGATCTGCATTGAGTACAGTAGGAGGAAGTGGCCGGTCAGATGAAAATGCAGCAAAACACTCATGGCTTTAGAAAAATGAGGCCGGACGCCAAACCAGAGGCGGTGCGGAGAGGGGAAAGGCGGAGAGGGGAAAGGCGGAGAGGGCTGCTGACTCCCTTCCCTCAACGGGGTGTCTGGAAAGTCCAATAGATCAGAATGCCTCATCTGCCCACAGGGCACACTGTTCTTGGTGACACCCAGGAGAGGGGCCTCGTTAGTGGAAACTGTGAGTTGTCACTTTCAGAGGGAGGTGAGACTTGCCCCGGTGTCACACTGGGTGGACAGGGTTCCTGTCACTCACTCTGCACGGAGCGAGGCTTTTTGATGTCTGGTCCCGTTGCGCCTGAGCTGCCCAGCCTTGACTGCTCTGGGGTGGAAAAATGTCTGGTCAAGTCACTGGCACAGGCAGGTACAGAAGAGCTCTGCTCCCACACTGGCAAAGAGCTGCCTTGCGTTGTGTGGAAGAGGACAGCATCCAGGGCAGAAGAGAACATTTCCTGGAAAAATGGGCCACCCGAGCTGGCTGCTGCTGCAGCAGCGGAAGGAGGGCTTTTCAGAAAGGAGGGACCGGGAAACAGAGGCATGGAGGCAGCAAATCAGGCCTTGCCCCCCTCCTGATGCCTGCTCCCCAGCTGCCAAGGCCAGATGTCATTGGCATATGTTACAATTTCACCACGTCCACGTTCCACCCACTTATTAGGACTTATTTTTAATTTAAACTGCCTTTTAAAAACTTTACTGAAATGGAAGATTAGCTCCCCGCTGGGCTTTGTTCTCAGCTCTTCCGCACTCCCACCGTCTGATCCTCTGATAGAGCTCATCGGCCTGGGTTGTCCTTGACTTTTTCACACGGCCACTTCCTCCGTTGTCACCAGCGTCATCTTTTTTTTTTTTTTTTTTTATTTTTGTTTTTTCGGCTTTTTGCTCTTTTTTTCCAGGCTTTTTTTTTTTTTTTTTGAACTTTGTGAATCTTGGGTTATACAGGTCACTTAGAAATACCTCTGTTGGTAAGAAATCAAACACAGACACAGCGCTTGTGCCCTCTGAGGACCCCTCGTTTAGTCGCTTCCTGGCGATGGCCTTGGGCATCAGTCCCCGGGGTAACCTGCTGGGCCTTTTCCTATGGGACTGTTTCATGAGTTCTACTTTTGTTTCACACATAAATGTATTATCATATTGTCTGTTTTGTCCTGCAGCTTTGTTTTTTTTTCAGAATGATTTTCTAAGGCATGAATCTTTTGAAATTATTTTAATATATAAACTCAGTGAAAACAGCAATACATACTCTTGCTTTAAAAAGTTTTGCAGCACAAGCTGGGCGAGGTGGCTCATGCCTGTAATCCCAGCAATTTGGGAGGCCAAGGAGGGCAGATCACTTGAGGTCAGGAGTTTGAGATCAGCCTGGTCAACATGGTAAAACCCTGTCGGGCATGGTGGCGGGCACCTATAATCTCAACTTCTCAGAAGGCTGAGGCTTGAACCCTGGAGGTGGAGGTTGTAGTGAGCCGAGATTATGCCACTGCACTCCAGCCTGGGCAAGAGTGAGACGCTGTCTTAAAAAAAAAAAAAAATTTCACAGCATAAAAGGGACACAGAGCTGGCCATGCCCTTCCACTGTTGCGTGCTCAGAGGCTTCCTGGTGCCGCAGAAGAAAGGCCATGCTGTCACCGGCCACAGGCCCTGTGTGGTCTCCCCCACCACCACAGCCTCCCTGCCTTCTTTCCTTCCCTGGCTGATCGGTGTCCATTCAGCGGAGCCCTCTGCAATACTGTGGGTGCCCCCTCCTTAGTCTGATGGACCTAGATGGCCGCCCCTGGGCTGTGAGCGTCCTGCTGGCAGGGCCAGGGGAGGTGGGCAACAGAGAGGTCAAAGCCCAGGCCTTGTGGTGTGACTCTGGGTGAGTCAGTGCACTTCTGCGTCTTAGCCTCTTCCCCTGTGCCCAGAAGGCTGCTGGAGGTTGGGTTCATGACAACAGCAGGGATCGGGGCAGGGCCTCTCCATGCTGACGGCTTGCTGCAAGCTGCCTGTCTCACGCCACTCGTTATTCTTACTGTCCAGCCCAGGACCCAGCACAGGCTGGGCATGTAATTGACCATAAGTGGATGTCAAATAAAGAGAGACAGGAATAAAGCTCCACCTAAGACATGTGGGGACGTGCAGGGACAGAGGCCTCTCGCGGAGTGCTGGGGACGAGGTAGAGGATTGAGATGGGATGGGAACTCAGTGCAGGCTCTGAGCACATTGTCCAGTGATACGCTGGAGGTGCTGATTGGACTCTCACCAGGAGGCAGCAAGCACAGGCAGGAAGCCCCAGCAGCCCCCTTGGTCGCAGATAGCATCTCCCCAGCCCTTCTGCCTCATGACGCCCTCCGTCTGTTGTCTGCTTGTCTTCTGAGTACTCCAGGAAGAAAGAAGCCACGAGGCACTGGCGTTCACCCAAGAGGCTGCAGCCTCCGCCCGTGTCTGGCGTTGATGTCCCCTGTGTTGAGATGGGATGGAATGATTCAAGCAAGCCATCTCCCACCCCCTTTTTTCTGGTCTGTTTATTTCCAGGCAATGCCACCGTAGATAAGTTGGAGGACTTCATCAACAACATTAACAGTGTCTTGGAGTCCTTGTATATTGAGATAAAGAGAGGAGTCACGGAAGATGACGGGAGACCCATTTATGCACTGGTGAGTGCCCGGCAGAGCCCTCTAGTGGCATTTGTGAGGAACTGGAACGCATGTCCCCGTTTGTAAAATGCTACCTTCCTACATAGGGCTGAGTGAAGTGAGGTGGACAAAGAAACTGAGACCAGGCCGGCCCCCGACCCAGCCTGCCTTCCTGTGCGCACAGCAGGCCTCCGAGGCCTGTGGTATCTTTCGGTTTTCAGGGTTGGGGTGACCAGAACGCGAATCTGGGACCTCAGTGCTCGCGTCACCGCCGACACGGAGCCTCTGCCCGACATGGCAGCCTGTGTTTGCTTTGGTTTGATTTTGCTTTTGGACAGTTCTCTGCAAAGAAGTCACTCCAAATGTATGGAATATTAGGAATAAAGGGAGAAAATGGTTTTAAAGAAAGTGTAGGAGCGTCAAGGATTGCCACCCACTTGGGGCCTTCAGTGGTTTTGAGATTTACTCTCACAGGTAGGGACCAGGGTGAAATACAGGAGTGAAATACATGGAAGCTGGCATGCCCCATCCCTGGCTAGGAGACACCTCGGACTGGTAGAGGACATCTGGCTCCTCCCAGCCAGGCTATACTCCGAAAGGAGCACTCTAGTCCAGGGATTCCCAGACTCAATTCCCTGGGAAAAACATGACGCAGTCAGTGAACCGTGGGAATGCTAGTCAGACGCGGCAGAGCAGATTTCTTTGCTACTGGACTTCTCGATGCCTTTTGCATTTGAAGTTCCATTAACATGCAGACAAATCTCCCAAATTGACCTGCATTTGGAAAATACTGTGTACCCTTTGGAGTTCTAAAACTTCTGAAAGTCTGGCACGTGGACTAAGCTAAAGAATAAAGTCTGTAATATACGCCTAGTTACAGATCCATCCCTGTGGCCCGCAGCGCCTGGATACAGGAGCTCAGTGACAGGCCAGAGACTGAGGAGGGGGCGGGAGAGAGGGAGGGAGAGAGCGAGCAAGACTGCAACTCGTTAACCGGCACACGAAGGGCACAGCCTGACTGTCACGCTGACTTATTTCTTAGGTGAATCTTGCTACAACTTCAGTTTCCAAAATGGCTACGGATTTTGCAGAGAATGAGCTGGATCTGTTTAGAAAGGCTGTGAGTACAGTAATCCCCATGGCCCATTGGCTGGGCTTCTTACGGGAAAGTTTTGTCTCCATCGTTAGAAGTGGCAGCCGGAATCTTCAAGTATCACTGGGGGCATATGGGCCACCGTTGCTGTCTGAGAAAGGGCTTTGCAGGGAGATGTCACTGTGTACCCATCTGGAATTCACAGCTGCCAGGTGATAGCCGAAGGGGCCACTGTGGCTGCCTGGGAAGGAAGTGCTGGGCCAGGTGTGAGCCCCAGCTGGATGGGCAAGAGCAGGGCCTCACGGAAAGTGACAGGAGCTCCTGCCTGGCTGCTCCAAGTGCCCGCTGGGAAAGGTGGCAGCAGCAGCATCGCCTGGGCGCTTGTTAGAAAGGCCAGGTCCCAGTCCCCATTCTAAGACTGCCGAGTCTGAATCTGCATTTGTTTGCACGTGCACATTTGAGAGGCACTGCTCCACCAGGCTTCAGCGCTATTTGCCCAGCCCTCGGGTCAAACACCTGGCTAAGTGGTTCTCAGGCCTAGATGCAATGATGATAACTGCAGAGGTGAAAATAATTCAGACATTTCAGCCCCACTCGTGATCTGTCAAATCCAAATCTCTGAGAACCACGTGCTGGAATCATTCCTTTTAGATCGTCTCCTGGGGGGACTATTAGCTGACAAGGTTGAGGAGCAGGTGCTGAGCTGAGCACACACCTGTGTGTGTAGGAACCCGTCTTCCTCAGCGGTTCCCACCTGCTGTGCCTCTCTCACTGCATCTGAGGCCAGCCATGAGGCAAGGCGACCCTTTTTGATTCAGACACACTAAGATGGTTTATTTGGGATGATGTTATGGGAGTGACCTCTCAAATGTGAGTCAAAGGAACAGAACCCAGACCTGGCTGTTGATGCATATTAATTAAATCATTTTCCTGGAAGGCCATGCCAGTGCACAGTTCTGCCTGTGATCTGAGTGGTTTTACTGTGTCCCTGCCAGACTTGGTGTTACCATTTAAAAGCTGTATTGGCCAGTTTAATAGATGAGCATGGTACCTGCTTTTTCTCCCAGCTGGAACTGATCATTGACTCAGAAAGTGGCTTTGCATCTTCCACAAACATTTTGAACCTGGTTGATCAGCTTAAAGGCAAGAAGTTGAAGAAGAAGGAAGCAGAGCAGGTGCTGCAGAAGTTTGTCCAAAACAAGTGGCTGATTGAGGTACTGTGTCTCGTGGTTTTCCCAGCCAGGCTTTTCCGAGTGAGTAGCAGTATTTCTCCAAAATTGTATTTGTAGCCAGCCGATGTCTGTCGAGCCTGGCCTTCTCAGATCCCTTATCTGCTTTCATGCATTCCAGCACCGACCCCGTGGGGAGGACTTGAGCCCCACTCCTCCTGCCTCCCACTCCCTGTTCACTCACATCATGTGTTCAAGATGCCACAGCCAGAAATGGCAGAGCCAGGAGCTGCATCCTGGGATTTGGGCCCCAGGCTCAGGCCTCTAGTCCACACACTGAGAGGCAGTGCAGTTCCCGGCTGAGAGCATGGCTCTCATGTCTAACCCAGTCTGATCCCTGAGCCAGGTGACCTCATGTCCCTGTAAGAGGGCGTGGTTGTTTCCTCCCCGGGGCTGGGTGCGTAAGGAACAGGAATGGGACCACACAGTAACGTGCTTGCTCCTGAGCTGCCTGGCTCTCGGGGGAGGCGGCAGAAGGATTGCTGACATTACCACTGGTGTCATTGTCACAGTGAGTTCCTCAGGGCCTGTGCTCAGAGGAGGCACAGACAAGCTTCAGGAGAGGGGCTGTGACATTTGGGACAGGCCCCCACTGCAGCTCCAGTTTCTGGCTGCTGCCCCGCCCCATGTCTAGTCCTCCTGAATGCAGCAGAACCAATGTTTCAGTTGTTTTTCCACAAGAGACAGCCCTCTTTTCAAGAGCTCAGGGTTTGCGGAGTTGACCACAGCTGTGCTGCCCAGGTGTTCATGCCCGCGCCCGTGTGTGTGGACGACATCCTGATGTTGGGCCCTGCTTCCTCACTTGGTGGTCAGACTCTTGGCCAGAGGCTGCCGCTTGTGGCCGTGGGGATTCTCCACTTCCGTTTCAGGAAGGCTCGCCTCTGGGTTGGGGAAGTTAGGGTTCTGAGTTACTGATGTCTGTGGAGGGTGGGCCTGTCCCAAGAACCTGACCCGAATTCACTTCCCAGGGTACCTGATGGGTAGAAAGAGGTGGAGAGGTGACGGGGGCTGAGGGCAGAGGTCACGGGGTCGAGGGCAGAGCTGGGAGCTCCAGTGAGTGCAGGATCTGCTGGGTACATTCCTGTAAGTCATGTCTGAGTGCAGCAGATCAAATGTTTCAGTTCTTTTTCCACAAAAGGCGGCCCTGTTTTCAGCAGCTCAGTGTTTGCCCGCTTGACCACAGCTGTGCCCTCCTAGGTGCTTGCCGGGGAAGGCTGGGTTCTGAGTTACTAATTTCTATGTAGGGTGGGCCTGTCCCAGGAACCTGACCCGATTTCAGTTCCTGGGGTACTTCATGGGAAGAAAGAGGTGGAGAGGTCACAGGGGGTCATGTCTCGGAGGCTGCCTGCTGCCTGGCAGTGGCTCCACTAGCTTTGTTTTTAGCTGACAGCTCAGGGGTCTGGATGCCATTGACGTCGGACACCCTGAGAGTGGCAGGGCCGAGTTCAGGTGCCGGTGTGGGGGCTGCAGCTCCCCATCAATGGCTGTGTCACTGTTTTTCTTCCCCTCCGGGCTGTATTTGGCCCTAGGGAATATTCTGTCTGCTTAGGTTATAAATGATCATTCTCGCTTGTGATGCAGCCCCTTTTTAGGCCAAGTTCTTTTTTTTTTTCCTTTTTTTT